TCCTGGTCCCCCTATTGATGTACAATTTAAGGTGACCTCTGTTCCCCCTACTGCTGTACAATATAAGGTGACCTCTGCTCTCCTACTGATGTCCCCTACTGATGTACAGTATAAGGTGACCTCTGGTCTCCCACTGTCGTACAATTTAAGATGACCTCTGTTCCCCCTACATATGTAGAATGAAAGGTGACCTTTGGTCCCCCTACTGATGTACAATATAAGGTGTTCTCTGGCCCCTTCCTGTTGTCCCCTACTTATGTACAATATAAGGTGTCTTCTGGTCCCTCTACATATGATGCCCTCTAGTCCCCCTACTGATGTACAGTATAAGGTGCCCTCTGGTCCCCCTACTGTCGTACAACTTAAGGTGACCTCTGTTCCCCCTACATATGTAGAATTAAAGGTGACCTTTGCTCCCCCTACTGATGTAGAATATAAGGTGTTCTCTGGTCCCCTTTCTGTTGTACCCTACTTATGTACAATATAAGGTGTCTTCTGGTCCCCCTACATATGATGCCCTCTAGTCCCCCTACTGATGTACAGTATAAGGTGACCTCTGGTCCCCCTACTGATGTACCCTTCTGATGTACAGTATAAGGTGACCTCTGGTCAACCTAATGATGTAATATATAAGGTGACACACTGGTCCTCTAACTGATGTACAATATTAGGTGTCCTCTGGTCCTCCTACTGATGTACAAATAAGGTATCCTCTGGTCCCCCTACTGATGTACATTAAGGTGTCGTCTTGTTCCCCTACTGATGTAAAGTTTAAGGTGACGTCTGGTCCCCCTACTTATGTACTATAAGGTGACCTTTGCTCTCTATACATGTACTGATGTCCCCCTCCTGATGTACAATATAAGGTGACCTCTGGTTCCCCTACTGATGTACAATATTACTTGTTCTCTGGTCACCTTACTGTTGTCCCCTACTGATGTGTACTATAACGTTACATGGAATAAAATCATAGGGGAGACCACAGGTCACCTAACGTAATCCATAATAGTTAAACGCTTATATATCATATATCGCATAAAATTGCAGTTAATGTTGCTCAGCACCCACCCTCCACCCCCTCTATCTTTTCTAATACCCATCAGATGGTTATTCCTTTTAAAAAGTTGTTTGTTTTACACTTTAAAGGCTTCACAGTATTACGATTTATTCTATTTTCACTTTACGTATGCAACGCACTACATTTTGTAGCGGAGTAAACAGGCCCGATAGTCGTGAACTGAGCAGGGGACCTCAGGTCCTAGTTCAGCGTACGTTTTATCCTTCTGCTCATGACTTTAAATGACAATCTTAAATTGTACAATTGTTAGCATTTTATAATGTTAATTAGCAAAATAAGCACCACAAGACAACTGGATGGTGACGTTAAGAGCTTGTCAAGAGCCTAAAAGTTTTGATCAAGCAGCCAATCAAGTTACAGTATTTCTAGGTACTTTTTCAGCATTTTTATTTCCTTCAAATAGAAAGCTCTTAAAAATTAAGTCGCTAAAATGTACCTCCTTCGTTGCCTTTTTAAATAGACTAAGTTTTCAAATACTTCTGTCAAATGTTTTATATTATAGTAAAACATGTTTACTGGTATAAAGAACATCCCATTCCTCAACATGCATATACTTATGTACAGGGAAATCATAAATTGTCAAATGATGCTGAGAATTATTAAATGTTAACCAAGCATAAAACGTTTATTAGTGTGATTTCTGATTGACTTGATTGAGATGGGCCTTTATTATTATTTTTTTTGTAGAAACCCTGTTTTTTCAATGCTGCAATCAATTAAAGCTATATATGGCGTATCCGAGTTTAAAAAATAAAAATAGGAGACTGAATGTTAATGAATATGATTTTTTTTCTAAGTTATGTTCAAATTCAAATTTTCACTGGTTTTGAACTAGAATAACTTTATGGTTCTATTATGGTTAAATTGAATTAAAACTGCCTGATATTTAAATGCATAATCGGTAAATAAATAGGTTATTATTTTACACGTTATTTTGCATATAAAGTTTGTAGGAATCTTCGGCATTCAAAACACCGTTGCACGGAAATGGGGTCAAAAAGTTAACACATAGATTTATTTTGCCGTCACCGTGAATCCGTGAAAGTGCAACGTCATAAGCGAAATTAAAAATCACGTTCACGTGGAACAGAAGCTGTTGCATTGACTGTAGCTAACTCGGACGATAATACAAGGATTTTGAAATATAAATCATATTTGCAGTGAAAGGCAAGAATTAAAAGATGTAATGAATCAACTTTTTAAAAAAGATTAGTCTCATGACTACAACGGTGTGTACAAACAATTTTTCAAAACGCGTTAACGTTTGCACACACCATTACAGTTAAGAGACTACAACTTTAAACAAATAATGATTCATTGCATAATCTGATTTTTTTAAAGAAAAAAAATTGCCATATATGTCTTAACCATGAGTACTAAAACATAAATAAGGAAGTCAAACACAAAAATTAAGTTAAATTATACAACATGTACAAGGTAGAAGGAAGTTTCTCTTTACTCCTCAAGACGCCCTTCAATGAAAAAATCCCCCATTGAATGTTACATAATTTCTCCAAAAACGACATTTTAAAATGCAATTTTCTTTTTAAATATTTAAAGATGTGTTTTTGAAATATTGCTGTCCCTGTATGGCAACATACCGGAGATTAAACTTTTCTTAAATGCAAATTAATGTGTCAGCTGGTATCAAAAGTCAGGTCTTTTTACAGAAATGAATTTGTGAAAAAAACGTAACCCTAACCATTCAAATGTTTTGGTCAAGGTTAAAGTTTTTCTTAAAGTACGTAAATCTCCAAGGTCAAGTTCAAAAGGTCAAGGTTGTTGGTGGTCTTGTTATAAAGAATAAATATGTGAAGTATGAAAGTCCTAGCCCTAACAGTTCAAAAGTTATGGCCATAGTTAAAGTTATTTTTAAAATAGGTCAAGTCTAAGGGTCAAAGTTATTGTTATCAAATGAAAGGTCTAGGATTAAACATGTAAAGTATGAAAGCCTTAGCCCTATCCCATCAAAAGTCATGGTTAAAGTTTTTTTTAAAGTAGGTCAAACTACTAGGTCAAAGGATCAAACTTCTTGGTACATGTAGATATGAAAGGTCTTCTCACATGTGAAGTATGAAAGCCCTAACACTTCTTGTTCAAAAGTTATGGCCAAGGTTAGTATTTTCATATGTACAAAAATCTCCATGGTTAAGTTGTTAGTTTTTAATTTTCAATGAAAAGACTTGCCGCAAAAAATTATATGTGAAAAATGAAAGTCCTGGTATTTACCGTGAAAATGTTATGGCCGAATTTAAAGTTTGGATTTTTGTGTAAAAGTGGGTCAAACTCCAAGTTCAGGGTCAAAAGTTCAAATTTGTTGGTACCCAAAGAAAGGTCTTATCACAAGGAGTACACGTGTGAAATATTAAAGTCACAGCTCCATTATATCAAAAGTTGTGGGCAAGGTTTACGTTTTTGCGGAGAGACAGACACGCCCGACGAAAACTATATACCCCTATACCCTTTAATCTTCGATTACGGGGCATAGAAAATTAAAGGTATCTAGGCATTTGAAGATAACGCAATGAGTCTATAATTAAACTGTACTTAAGTTTCTTACTTCAATGCTGTTGTAAGATTTGGTGTGTAAAGCGTTTCCTATTCTTGCAAAACACCAAATCACTTTTAATTTCATATCATGTTCATAAACACCCGTGTATAAGGCCAGATTAAAAGAAATCCGATATTGGATATAAAAACTTTTTGAAAAACCGTTTCTAATATGCCTCAAAGAACCTTCAATGACATTGAGAAAATTAAAATTTTTTGCAGGAGGAGATTTCAATTTCAAGCTTTATTTAGAGAGTCGCCCGCGTGGAGCAATAGTTAGAACTTTTGCTCTAGAGTCGCGAAGTAAGGAGTTGATCCTTACGTCGCGGGTTCGAATGCCACTGTGGGATGTTAAGACCGATCCTTCGAATAAGGCAGTATAATCCGAGGTCCCGTGTCGCAGTAGGTGCTGGCATGAAAAAGATCCCTCTCTGCTCAATGGCCCTAGGTGTAATGTATAGGAAATAATTTGAAGCTCTCCACCGGCATGGTGGCGTCTCCATTGAAAAATTCTCGAGAGGGACGTTAAACAATATACAATTAATCAATCATTTTGAGACTCTTTTAAATTTGAAAACTAATTCAAAGAGTTATCCTTCCTGGCGAATGAGCTGATATCCTTATTTCTTATTTCCTTAATCTATATGCGATTCATTAATATTGATGGGTTGAATTTGTAATGTAATGATCGTAGAATTTAGGAAATACTGACGTTCAACGCCCACTAGATACGTAAGTCCAAAAAGGAGATTTTTACCAGAAAAATTGACTTTACTATATCTGGTGACCTACATGGGGGCTGAATTCTTCTTACTACTGCTTAAGTTAAATGAAGACTATCTTACATTTGCTAATGTAAGTTTAAAAGACATATTTTGTAATGTATGTTAATTTTTTATAGTACCAAAGCAAAAGAAAATCGAAACAAGATTTTTTTTCTTTTGAATTATTTTTGACTCCATTATTGAAAGATGAAAGTAAACTAGAAACAATGCATAATGCACAGGAGTAATCTCAAAGGAAGAACGTATCTAGTAAATTGAAATTGAATGCAAATTTACTGTATTATTTGATATAACCAGCTGACAATTCATTGTCTTGGATGTCCTGTTGACAATTTGACTTTGTTGTTGATCGGTATACATTAATATCATTTGTAAACTGTTTCACTAAACATATCACCATGTGTCATAAGGATCTCCAAAAAAATCTAAACTACTACGTACGTAAATAAAACATAATTATATTACTTTTTAAAATGTCCAATCATTTGCTTACTCTTGACTAGGAATAAACAAAAATAAAATAATCATGTGATCAAATCGTGTGACGCCCAAGCTTTCTTTTGTAAGGGAAAAATTATAGCTGTGAAATATTTCATGCATAATAAATATGATAAAATCTTAGTTTAGTATTAGTTGAGTTAAATGTGCACAAACATTTTATTTTTGGATCTTTTAAAAACGAATAAACAGTACAATGGCTCCCAGGCACATGCACTTGGCGTGCTTTCTGTTGCTATTTGAAAGATCTGCTTGTTATGGTTTGTATGTTTATATTTTCTTTCATGTAATTATCTTTTATTATCTATCTTTTACAATGTGCCCGAAGAACAGAGGTAAGAAATACAATGTAATAATATTTCATTACTATACTAAATACTGCAATCTTTTCTTATTCCATCAAATTAAAATATATCAGATAAAACAAATTAATTCAAAGAATTACGGCCCCAGCTTTCGGCATCCTTGTAGGTTAAATGTCATTATTTGTGGCATATTGTGTCAAATATGAACGCCGTATCTTATGTCATTCAGAAGGTATCACCAAAGCTGAATATCATTTGAAAATTAGGTCAATCATGAATTCGAAGGTCAAGGGGTCAGAAATCATAGTATGCTCGGAAATATTTTGTCACAGGTAATCTATGTCAAATATAAAAGCCCTTTCTCTTATCAATCAGAAGTTATAAGGAAAAATTAACAATTTTGAAAAGATCAAACTTCAAGGTCACGAGATTAAAATCACACTGTATTTAGATAGGTCTTGTCACTGGCAATACACATGTTTAATATGAGAGCCCTATCTCTTCTGTCAGTTTGTACAGTGCGGGCATTGTAGCCCCTCTTGCATAAGTGGGACTTAAGGAGACCGAATGGTTCCTGGTTTAAGACAGGAAATGAACAGATGCGCCAAATTCTGGTGGCTAGACCCTTAGACACGCCTTAAATGTGTGTGGGGGATGACAGCTAGTCGGCATAAGATATAGACGGGAATCTGTGGGTTTCGTGTGGAGACTGAACTCGATTTCACCATCAATCAGGGTAGATGTAGTATCTATGAATATTTTTGCGAATTAGATTATCTATGAATATTTTTGCGAATTAGATACATCTTCCGTAAATTTGATAGACTGAGATGGTGTTTGCGAACGAAATGAATGCCTCGAGGGTCTCGCGACATTCCACTCACTTCATATCTACATCGTCAATGAAACGCAACCACCTAAGGGGTCTGAATGGTGCTTGACGTAACAGATTGCTTTCAAGTCTGCCAAAAAATTTGGCATAAGATGGTGCCATTTTCGTACCAATAGCAGTACCATTAAACTGTATGTTATGTTATCCATTACAAATGAAGTTGTTATACATGTTCAAGGAGCTTAACAGGAGACTCGGTGGAAGGAACTGGTATGGATCTACCATCTAAGATTTCTCTACAGGCTTCGACACCTCATTTTGTTGGATATTGGTGTACAAAGATGTGACGTCTAAAGTCACGAGAAGGGTATGATGTAGAAGGCCAGTAGAGGGCGTCTTGTTTAAGTAGTTTGTGGTGTCCTTGAGATAAGATGGCAAGTTCTCTACGTGTAAACGGAGATGTAAATCAATGTATTCAAACATTTTCTTCGTGGGATGTCCAATATGCGCTAACTATAGGACGACCTGTCATGCCTTTTTGTGTATCTGAGGAAGTAGATAACATTGTCCTAGTCTACAGTCATTAGGATTGAGTGTCTCATAGACGTTGATACCAATCTCATTTTTTCTCAAACATTTTATCAAGAGTTTTGGTGATAGCGGTTGACAATCCGTTAGTAAGGTAAGACATTTTTTTTCCTTTTTGCAAGTTGTGTTTCTATTTTAACCACGTAAGGTATTTTGTTCATTCTTCCATTCAATCTTTCGACTTAACTCTCCTTCAGTTGAAATGCTTGCTCTTATTGTCATGTCATAAGCTTTTCATTTTAAACATGTCAATTAAAAGTAATCCAACAATCTTCTAAAGAAACAACACGCATTGGCGTCGAAAGCAAATTGAAAGGGGGGCTAGGGGAATGAGGAAAAAAAATCAGACCTACAAAAAAAAAACATGACAAGCAAAAAAAGGGTGGGATATGTCCAAACACGAAAGTCCTATTTTGTGGAGGGGTGGGTAAGATCGAACTTGAGTGTGTGTGTGTGGAGGGGGGGGGGGGCTAAACTTACCTCCAAATGTTTAATGCCTATATGATGTCTATCTTTGCAAAAAAAGGGGGCTAAGCCCCATCCCCCTTCCGCCCCCCGGCCCCGACGCCTTTGACACGAAAAATCAATCAAATATGAACACCGGTTCTCCAATTTACAGACCTACTAAGAGTGTGACGTTATATCTAAAGGTTTCCAGATTGATATCAACCTTAACATAGGACCAATCCCTAGTTTAAGAACGCTGGGTATTTATTACAAAGAGGTGTTCTAAACAACTGATATCACTCTGTCTCTCTTGGGATCTCAAATGTTAGGACAATTTCGGAGTGATATCACCTTCTTAGAACCATCCCGCTTTATGTCTTACAGCATGTCCCTAGCCGATCTTCATGAAACCCATAGTATAATTCACACCTATAATATGGCCCTAAAATTTATCTCAACAAGACTCAAAGAAAGAAATTTTCCGAGATAGTGTTCCACAGATCAGGAACAACCGGTCAGAGGTCAGAGTTAACAAAGCACGCAAATCCCACTCGAGACGCTTCAAGCGCATAAAAATAATCACAAAGTGAGGACCCTTACGAACTCTTGCCGTCTGCCAAGTGCTCAATAAATCTAGTACTAGTGTTTCACTCTTCGAGTCGGAGACCTCACTTCTTTTCAATGGGCTTAATTTCTTACCAACACCACATGAAGTAGGCGAAAAACAAGTCAGAGAGGACATTCGAGCATTCTTTCGGAGACTGCGGTTCAAGAAGCACTTCTCTAGAAAAGACTTCGAAGATGATCCATATGAATCTTCCCAAACAAATGCAGAACCTAGAGAGACACAAACTCTATCGGACAAAAAGTGACTGGGAACATAAACGGGCAAATGCAAAGCCCCGGAGTCGTACATAGACGCCGTTGAGTCAGACATTGAGAAACTCCTTTCAATGCCAGACAAGGCCCCCGACAATTCGAGTAAGGAAGAGAAATCTGCATTACAATCATTAAAGAATCAGGATGACATTGTAATTAAGGAAGCAAACAAAGGCTCTACGGTAGAAGCACTTGATAAAGAGACATACATGGCGGAGGCCCATAAACAAGTCCCAGACGAACGTTCCTATGAGATACTGGACTCTGACCCTACAAAAAAAATTCTCAATCATCAGTTAAGGTAGGACAAAACACCCGTGGATTCTGTTTTAACCCATTTCTTAAAAAGTACTGGAGGAAAAAAGAAAAATATTACTATATTGACAACAATGAAAAATCCCTGAAAGAAAAATAATAAGTTTTGGCATATTTGCGTTATATTTTGTGAAAAAATCAGAGAAACCTATATATTGGTCACTTGTGAGCTTACATTTTGGAATGTGTTTACGCTCTCTAAGTGCAATAAACACGCATGTAACACTCTGTTATAAAATGCAGTGCAACTTTTGTTCCATAAATAATAGAGGGGTGATATTTGGACACATATATAAGGAGTGTCTATTCTTTATGTACTACAAAGTTCAAGGTCATATCAAGAGGTCAAAGGTCAAGCATTGTGACGCCATCTACTGAATCTTTAAGTTTTTTTGCCATTGATTTTTTTAATCGCCAAAATATCTGAAACCATCGGTTCAATTTTCTTTATTTTTACACATTTTTATTCTAGGACCCATTTGAATCATTCTGTTGATTTCTTTTAAAAAATTGAATTATACATTTTCTGTTAAGAAAACTTAAACTGTCGAATATTTACATGAGAATTTTCAGTTTCTGAAACAATGTATGTTTTATTTTACTTAATATTTTACCCAAATTTTCTAGTATCAATGTGACTTACTGATTTAAAGTAACAAAAAAGGTCTTTATGAAAAGTATCACACAAATTTGCAAAAGATCAATAGAAAATTCTAAAATAAGGCTCATTCTCAAGTAGAATGTCTGATTTCACAATCTTCTTACAGGGGTCTGATAGGCCATATTTCAGACTATGTGGGCAAAAAATGTGCGGTTGAATTTCTTTCATATCATACATAAAGAGAGATTTTGTATCCAAGAACAAAATGTCAAAGTTTCAGAAAATTTGAATTTGAGGAAAAATTTGACCTTTCTATTTGGTCCTACTTTGATAAAGCAACTTTTAGGCGTTGTATGGTCTCCGGTTTTTAATTCTATATGTAGTCTCGCGATTCATTATATTTTTCCTGTAACTTCGCTCGTGAATGCAAATGTTTACTACTGAAGCGAAACCATGCAGCTAGTGTTAATGTATGTTATCGAAAGTCGTTGCATTGTCAAATATCAAAAAAAGTTTTATACCTTCCGAGTTCTTTTACTATGGAAAAATGAGAAAATTTTACACTGTAAATGAATGGTGGTGCTTAAGTGCTTAATTAATTGTAATCTTATCAAATGAAAGATATCGGATCAGACATCTTTAGTCTTAAAACTTTTATGCCCCGGTATCCGAGATTTAGGTGTATATAGTTTTTGCCGTGTCCGTCCGTCTGTCTGTCTAGATATACATGTCTGTATGTGTCTGTTTGTCCGCAAAACATAAACCTTGCCCATAACTTTTGAGTGGGTGGGGCTATGGCTTTAATATTTCACAGGTGTATTCTTTGTGACAAGACCATATTCTGTGTACCAACATATATGGCTTTTTAACCTTGACCTTGGAGTTTGACATACTTTTACAAAAAATATCAAATTTTAACCTTGGCAATAACTTTTTATCAGTTAAAAGTAGGACTTTCAAAGTTCACAGATGTATTTCTTGTGACAAGACATTTCATTGAATACCAACAATTTCGACCTTTTGACATTGACCTTAGAATTAAACCCACTTTTTAAAACCTTAATCTTGGCCATAACTTTTTTAACAGTAAGCAAGGTTTTTTTTTATTTCGCAAGTGTATTCTTGGTGAAAAAAAACCTTTGGATACCAATGATTTTGGCACTGACGTTAGTTTCCCCATTCCTAAAAACTTTAAACAGCAATTTCATGGGATTTCATATTTTAGAGATGTATTCATAGTGACAAGAACTTCCTATTTATACATGTAACAACAAGTCGATCTTTTGACCCTTGACCTTACAGTTTGACTTGCATTTGAGAAATTTCAACCCTTGCTATAAGCTGCCATACGAGGGAATCAGTGTTTCAAAAACACATCTTTTTTTAGATCAGAAACTGAGTCGATGTTGTATAAAAATGAATATCATAATTGCATGTTGCTTTGCAATACCTCTTAAAATATACTATTTTTGAAGCGGTTTTGATCTTATTTTCTTTCAAGAAAACCTATGCAGAAAACAAGGCATAAAGGTAACTCAAAGCTCAGAAAGACCAGGCTTTTCTGCAACAAGAGCTGTGGACGGTTCTTACAGCCAAACTTATTATTCTTGTGCACATACTGCGCTTTACCAAAAACAAGCTTGGTTCCAGGTGGATCTAGGAAAGCACTACAATCTGAATTCTGTAAAAATATTTTACAGGAATGGTAAATACTCTGCATTTTTTAATGTTTATTGTTGAATTTATGTTTTGAAAGTTAAATCTACCTAAGCCCGCTGAGGCTAGTTCAGAGATTTTTTATCTCAAGTGCAAATTTTTCATTTTTGAGATGAATCACTTGAAGATTTTATAATAAATTCACTGTGAAAATTCCATGGTGCAAAAATAATCATTTAGTCATCCAAAACAGAGGCAAATTTACAATAGTCCAAAATTATAACTCAGTAAAAAGGTAATTTGCAATTTCTTTTTCTAGTCGAATACTGAATCATGATTTTCGGTACTAGTAAATTTATAAAAGTAGTGCAAATTTAAATTGTTCGAAGTTTAACAACTCTGGTGGTAGCTAGCTAGAGTAGAACGTCTGAACTACAGTAGGGGATTAATTTTTCATGTAATATAAAAATAGTTTTTATAAATGCAGAACTATACTAAATGATATTCACTTGGAAACATTCCAACGTTGAATAGATTCTTTGTCTTTATCAATCTCGGTATGTATTCATTCAATTTATTTATGGAAGGATGGTCTTCTTTACAATTTATAGTTGCCATTAGATAGTTTTATTACTTCATTTTAACGTGAAACTCACATTTACTTAAAAATGCTACAATTTTAAAGCACAAAATTTTCTGTTTTCTCTGTTTTGTACAGAATTTAGGGACCTAGGACCACATCATTATGTTTTAGTTATTTGTTTTAATCACAACAAATAACTATTTTTGACATTTGAAGCTGGATATAGATTTATGGATCAGATCAGAAATTTTTTATGAGTTGGAAAAAATGTTTCTTTTAGCAGTTTAGAATTTTATAATGTCAAACATCAATATACATTATATCAAAATGCGTGTTTTATTCCTAATAGATTTTTCGTAGGAGTTTCATTGAAACTTTGACCTTCCGTGCTGCATCCCAAGCATCTGTCCTTGACCCCAAACTACCAGGTCATGTATGCCTACTGTTCAACCCAATTTATGTATGATAAACAAAAACTTTTTTAAAGCCCAGCTCCATATGCAAATCCTGGGTCTGTTCCACTGGTGAACCTTCTTGGAGCCAAGGGGCGTAATATAACGCTGGGGGAAATAAAGACAACATTATGAATTTGTAGATACTTTATCACTTAAAAATGAAATGCATTCATAACAACCTTTTCTGTAATCGAATATAAACAAATGAGTACTCTTGAGTGTTAAGTATCTGGTGAAATTTGATCTTTTGTGGAATTTATATTTCATGTACGTGTTTAATTTTTATAATCGACAAAAGTGCCTGCTTGAAAAGATTTAAAAATTGGCCCTTAAGCTCTTATCACTTACTACTGGCCGTAAACTCCGACACAATTGCGAATGTTTTCACAAAGTCGACTTATGCTACGATTTCTGATCTGATATTAATAGCTTCTGTATACACTTCAAATTTTGTATTTTAAAAACAACATTGTTATAACAAAATGATAATGTACAATTAAGAACTCTCTGCAAGGGAGACATCACCAATTAATTATCAGGTCTGATATGGGTTGTTACCAAATGTCGCTTACGCCATAGGGACGCTTGTCTTCTGCATTGTTGAATGTATTTAGAAATAATTTATCATTTTTAGAGTTTCATGAAAAAAAAAAATAATACGTAAAAGTATAATTTAGATGGAAGGGTACATATACATGTAAATACTGCAATCTGCATGCAAGTTGATTTAACCATGCAGTTATTTTTTATGTCAGATGTCTCAGATCACTTTGATTTTTTTTTACTCAGATTATAACTGGAGACCTAACCGTTTTCGACAATTCCACTTGGACGTATCAAATACTAGTAAATCTGTAGGTTGTTCAACACCACAGAGTTTTCGATGCTACAAGGACAATAGTACACCACCAGCCACGCCCCCTGCTGTGATTGACATTCCTTGTAAACAGACAGCTCAATACGTCATCATAGAAACCACATACACTGCTCCTGAAAATCCGAAGGAAGGAGCAGGACCTATGCTAGAAATCTGTGAAATTGATGTTTATGGTAAGAACATTCAGTTATGCATATGTTTTCCCCTTATTCAAGTAAGTGAAGTGTGATTTTTTTCATGCTTCAATTAAGAAATAAATAACAAGTTTATAAACTTCAATGGGAATTGAAGTGGGTCGGTCACGTGATCAAATCCTGTGAAGGCCGAAGGCCTTCTCAGAAGATTTGATCACGTACTGACCCAATTCAATTCCCATTGAAGTTTATAAACTTGTTATTTATTACTTATATATACATTTGTGACAGACAGTTGAATATTTTCGATTTAAATTATTGCACTAACCGTCCGTCGTAGATTTTGAAAAATGACGCAAGGTATAAATAGGCTTGCATGGCGGTTACGCTTCGAATTCATTAGGCTAAGGAATCTATTTCGAAGGGAATATTTAGTGAAAGGCTACTTGTGATCAGTAATAGTGAACAGATTGTTGTCTGGGAATATTTTATTCGTGAAAAAATGATAATCGATGCTGAAAAGACACAAGAAACACGTCCGAAGTTCGATGATAAAAAGTTGGAGGAATTTCGGTCGCTGAAAAGGGATGGATGGATCCGATGGATTGAGACACTTGTCCGAGCCAGTTAATTTGCAATTTGATCAAAAACATTCCATGGTTTCAGTAACTAAAGGCATACTTATTGTAAAACACTGATAAACACGGAGACACTGGCGACAGCTTTACATTGAACTACGAAAACGCCGAGGTGTTTGGCAGGTGTTCATGGCATGATTGCAAAGATATTTTCCAACATATTTAAACATTTATCGTGAGTAAAATTTAAAGATAAGGTAAAAGTTTATCAAGAAAATTTAACCAAAGGTCTATCCAAAAAATAAGGGTGAACGTCAGAGACTGTGCAGCTGACAAAAGTGAAGAAAAATGTAAACAAACGCTAGGCTCCTAGTTTTCTCTATGTACACAGGTTGAATCGATAGCCCAAAAACTGTATGAAATACTTGTTTATATTTAAAATAAAATAATTATCATTTTACTTGCTTATTTTATTCATTTTTATACATGAAAAACAAGTAGAGCAGGTCATTTTATAATATATGTACCGGTAGATATTATTGCGCCGTGTGATTAGGTCACGTATTGACCTTTGACCTCTGACAAACTTCATACAGAATTGAAGATATTTTCTCTCTGTATGTTTATATAATGGAGAGATACCACAAATGTATATATTTCTAAATCATTGACTTTTTTTTTGAATTGTAATTCTTGGTCGAAACGTATCTATCAAATTTAACGTATTGTTCCGATGAAAAAAAAATCAAATATATATACGTTTCAAGTAAATTGAAAATATGATCAGGAATACACAAGTTCTATGTTCAATACAATGATCTTGTCAAGAAAATCGTCTATCATTAATTCGAAAGCTTGCTGACATTTGTCGTACCAATTGTTAGGTCATTATTTATCAATGAATTTTCTACGGATTTTCATTCAGTTTTCCAGAACATGACAAGGAGCACACGACGGGTTTGACCTGTCGACAGGGGATTCTTACTCCTTCGTGCCGCCTGATCCCACCAATGAACTTTTAAAGGTCGTGTTTGCTCTGCTCCCGATTTGTAATGTTTTAATAGACTTTTAAGCTTGAAGACTTTTCGTTACTAGTATCTCTATATTTCATGCATTATCTTCAACATGGGTCTGGGAAGATACAATTCAAATCATGTGGACAAGAAATGTGTGTTTACTTCGTCTTTATCACATGTACACATAAAAGAGAACTTGCCTATCTTCAAGCAAAATATCAATTTAAAAATGAGGTTAAGGAGAACTTTGCCCATCTTTATTACACTGTCTAAATACTTTACGCTTCTCTGATTTCAGTCCTGTTTTTTTTTTCATTATGCCATTTTGTACTTAAAGGTTCATGGACACAGATTTGAAGTTAATATTTCTGTATAATATTACGATTTATATATTTTAATAGCATATCACACAAAAATATATTAAAAATCTTTTTTCATCTAAAAGTTATTAAAACTTCAATTTTTTAGACGGGTTTGATTGACACATCCTTGCAATTTCACAAATTTTAATTTTATTCTTAATACTTAGGAAAAGTGGCAATCTTGTTGTACAACCCTCGTATATTAGTGTGACGAAGAAACCATATAACAGTTAAGCTGAACGTTAACTTATCTCTTATTTTTGCCATTGTTGCAATAATTTTATACTTTCGCGTTCAAAAATAATCAAAAAAAAGTTTGTATGATGTCTGTGTAAGGATAAATAAAACTTGCATCAATTTACTCAACTTTATTTGATATATCAGTTTTTTTTTAAGTATAAGCATTGGCTATAATATTGTCTTGCAGGATGCAGTACTGAATGTTTAGGGAAAATGTGCCATTCCAATGGCCAATGCGACGCATGTGAAGAAGGTCGCTGGGGGCGATCGTGTCAAAACAACTGTCAGTCTCTATGTAGTAATAGATCTTGTGACGCAATAAACGGTACTTGTAATCGTGGATGTGAGCCTGGATTTTGGGGAAGTACCTGCACCAACAAATGTAGTGATCATTGTTTGAATGACACTTGTGATTATTACAATGGCACTTGCATCAGTGGATGCAAAAAATCTTTTACAGGACCTATGTGCAAAAGTAAGTAAAATATTTATGTATATTTATATGTAATATAACATAAAAAATATATGTATACGTGTTGGGGTCATGTCGACATAGTCATGTAAAAATATCAAGTTTATATGCTGTAATATATATCATCATTCATCGTCCTTTGCACCCTGTGATGTGTAGGACAGCAACAAACTTTCTCCACTCTTGTCTATCCTGGGTAAGCCTCGTCTATGATCCCCAGCATGACTTTCATCTCGCTTTCATGTGTTGGCATGATGTTCTTGTTCCCCCTCTCTTTCTTTTTCTCTTTGGGAGCCAATGCAGTGCTGTTTTTGTTGTTGAATTCCGGTGGGTTTTTGTTTTTGAGAACATGTCCTATCCATCTCTATCGGCGTTTATAACGATGGTACCTATGTCCTCTTGTTTGCGCCTGCTCAGAATGTCTTTATTGGTAGCTTTCTTAGTCCAGAAAATCCGATTATTTGATGGAGGCATTAGGTGTGGAAGGATCGTAATTTTCTAAGATTAATTTGTCTCTGTTGCTCGCCAGAATTCCGATCCATATAAGAGAGTTTATACAATACAGCTCTGGGAAAGCTTCATTTTGGTGGTGGTGCTGTACTGTGCAGACCTTAAGATGTTCTTCATTTCTTTAAATATACTCTCCTGGCCTTGTCCATTCTGCTGTGGATGCCCTCCTTTGTGTGAATAAAGTAAAATTTTCTGTCTGGCGAAGTCCATCAATTCACAAGGAACAGGCAACTCCACGAAAAGTGTCATTGTCTCCGTCTTCTTCGTACTTATGCGTAGCCGCACCTACTGTCCGGTTTGCAGCCTGTTGGTCTTCTCTATATAAATACCATAATGAAATAGGATGCTCCAAGACTTTCTCGGTGTATGCTGTCGAATGTTCTTTCAAATTACTCGAAGTTAACATACAGTTGTCTCTGCAACTCTGAACATTGCTCTGTTTTGTTGCGGAGTGCATAGGTCTGGTCGGTACATCCTCGATGTTTTCTAAATTCTACTTGCTTCTTCCTCCATACAGCGTCAACATAATCAGACATTCTTTTGATGGCTATCTGAACAACGATCGTACTTGGCATGGACAATAGAGTGATTCCCCTCCAGTTGTTGCATTTGATCTGTGCTCTTTTCCTTGAGATCTTGACAACTACACCCTTACACCAGTCTTCAGGTACTTTCTCTCCATCCCACTGCTGTAGACAGTGGTTGGAGGATGATGGCTGCTATTCCAGGGTCTGTCTTCAATAACTCTGAATCAAGATTGTCATACCCTGGGGACTTCCCGTTCTTAAAGTTCTTGATTGCATCCATAATATCATACCTAGCTGTTGGGTTAGAATCTATGTCCAGATCTTCTGTGGCTTCTTGTATGACAACTAATTCACCAGATGATGGTCGATTTAGTACTTCGCAGAAGTATTCAGCCAATCTCTGTTGTTCTTTGTTTTTTTTTTTTTGTTTTTTTGTTTTTTTTTTTTGTTTTTTTTTTTGTTTTTTTTTGTTCTCCTTCTGTTGTCAGCAGTGTTCCGTGTTTGTCCTTGATAGGTCTTCCTGTGTTTCCTCTAAATTTACCAGATACTGATACAATGTATCTTGTATACTCTCACTTGCTCTACCCGTACTGCCGCCTCCTCTGCATCAGTTTCAAGTTGCTCCATGGCTTCTCCCTTGTAATGGCGTTTAAGCTTCTTGTCTCTCTCGTTGGGATCACTATGAAAATCTACGATTTCAACATTTTATTGTTAAAGACAGACAAAATTTCCACAAATCGACAACAGAAATGCAATTTGTTAAGTAAATTGCAAAGAACTTTATTCGGTAATAACTAATATTTGCCCCCAAAATCAAACTTTGACGGAGAAATATTTAATTATGTTCTTAAACAGGGGGATATATGCTGACTTCAAAGCACTGAATATTTTCATAAGCAATGACGTCATATGTTTGAAATGACGTCACGAAAATGACGTAAATTTAAAATTTCCATGATTTCTACAGAAAAATTTATATATTATGTCGATATTTTTAGTAAAAATCACCGAGCGCAGGTGTGATCATGATCAATATTTTGATATAATGAGTAGAATGATAATATCAATGAAATATGTAAATATTATTCCTGAGCAAACGCGCTCTATAAATTCTAAAGCTAAAATTGTTGAAATTTTGTCCATTTTGTCATCTTTCTAAGAAATAATGTAAAATCGGACTAGTTTTTGACGTCATAAAAACAAAAATTGTCAATTAACTACTTTGAAACTATAACATATTCTGTAAATTTATATTTCTAATACAAATTATAGAATTCAGCACATTTCAAGAATTTTTCAAAATTTGACTTTTGTGGGGCAAAGATATGCAGTATACCGCATATAGTTCTTTGTGGACTCTTGTACCGAAAAAGGATGTATACCAGGGCATAATCTACTCGAATCCCTTTAAAAACAGTTTTCAACATGCCATAGCGTCGTGTTCTAAAACATTTAATAAACATGCTCTGTCGATTTGCCTTTCCAAAGAAGTTTTATCTATAATGGCTATTAGAGGTATTTTGACAATAAATTTTGGAAAAAAATTATTTAAAGTCTATGAAAGTGATCTGGCTTGAGATATATGGCTTTAATTAGTATTACAGCCTTTCATAAAAATATTTAATGCAGTTTGTTGTTAATTTGATTTCTGAATGAAAAAGAAAGAGAAAGGTCGAAAGTACGTCTGTATAATCACCATGCAATATTACGAACATTATGAGAAAAATCCAATTTAAAGATAGCTTGGATAAGGTAAATGAAAATTTACTCTTGTTTCTATCCCCTGACCAAAAACATAGGGTATGGGTAGGTACGGGAAAAATTATTTTGAAAAAAACATATTTTCAAAACTCAATGAATGCAGAACACAAAACTTGTAATATCAAGAAAACTGAATATTAACTGTTACATGTAACAAAGTAAATTTGTTAATAAAGATTTATAAAGTAAATGTATCCTCTACTCTTGTGATGTATTTTTTAAGTTCTTTGAAATAAACACAGAGTAGAAATATCAGAGACAACATACTTGCTGATCTCAAACATGCCAACATGATAAATGGTCAATGTTTATGCATTTTTAGCTCACTGTAGCCGAAGGCTCAAGTGAGCTACTCTGATTAGAATTTGTCCGTTGTCTGTCGTCGTTATCGTCGTCGTTGCTGTCGTTGTTGTCGTTGTCGTTATCGTCGTCGTTGCCGTCGTTGTTGTCGTTGTCGTAAACTTTTCACATTTTCATCTTCTTTTAAGAACCCTGGGCCAATTTCAACCAAACTAGCCAAGTATCCTTGGGTAAAGGGGATTCAAGAATGTTTAAATGAAGGGCCACACCCCTTTCAATGGTAGATAATTAGGAATCTTTAGAACAATCTTCTTCTCAAGAACCACTGGGTCATGGAAGATGAAACTCATGTTGAAGTATCCTCTGGTAGTGAATATTCAAGTTTGTTCAAATCATGACCCCCGGGGTAGGGTGTGGGCACTATGGAGTATCAAAGTTGTACATAGGAATGCATATAGGGAAAATCTTAAAAAATCTTTTTCTTATGAACAGCAAAGCCATAGTTGATCATAGTTGAATGGAAGCATCCTTTGATAGTGTAGATTCATGTTTCTGCAAATCATGACCCCCGGGAGGTAGGGTGGGACACAGTGGGTGATATCACAGTTTTAAGTAGATTTCTTCTCAAGAAAAGCAAAGCCATGATCGGTCATAGTTATATGGAAGCATAAAAAAGGTAGTGTAGATTCAAGTTTGTTCAAATCATGAGCCCCGGTGGTAGAGTTGGGGTCACAATGGGTAAACAAGGTTTTACGTAGGAATACATGGGTAAAACTGTCAAAATTCCTCACAAGAACAACAAAGCCATGATTGATCATCAATAAAAAAATATCGAAAAAGGTAATGTAGATCTAAATTTGTTCAAATCATGACCAATCAGGAGAATAAAGGAGCCATTAAAGTTAATTATAGTACTAACAATTTCAGTTCAGTGTGAAGTTTTGCATTACGTCACGATCTTTTTCGACAGATGCATCCAGCGTAAACAATTCACGTGATTGGTCAACTCATATTATCAACATTGACACATAAATAGTCTGTTGTACGAACAACCAGTCAGCGATTAGATGAAATTTCCAGTCGTAAAGCTTGCGGTTAGGAGGCGTGTACTATTTACCTAGAGCGCAGCTGTCAAACTAGATCGTGATGTAACCTTAAAACTTCACAATTAACTGCAATCTATAGTAAAGGAATATAAAGGCTATAGCAATAAAAAAAATCATCTTAAAAACAACAAAGCTATTATGTGTCATATCAATTCAAAAGCATCCTTAGGAAGTGTAGATTTAGGTTTGATTAAATACCCCAACCCCCTCCCCTGAACCCACTTTAATACTTAAACTTTTCAATATTGAACTGATTTTTGCTTTTACCTAGCCAATTGTTCTGGTGAGAGAGGTGGCCCCTGGTGGCTTGTTTGACAGTTCTGCCCAAGTTTTTTATTCAAACGCTTCTGAGACTCATTTGCGGAAACATTATATATTTTTGGTAAATTTAGTATTTCAGGAAAATATCCCACGAAAATGAAAACGTAAAAAAAGCTTTTTAGGGTCGGAGAGTAAAATGTAGGGTAGGTCGGGTGACAGGAAACGAGAGTATAAAAATATGTTTTGGTCTAAGCATAATTACTATTATAGTTACTGAATTATTACAACTTATTTATCATACTAATTAAAATTCTTGGTCAAAAGCACCATAAGTAATACTTATTACTGTAAAACTGTTAGTGCTTTGACAATATTACAGCATAAGAAAAAGGAATTATTAGCGTCCTGATTGAAAATAAATCATATCTCGAATTAGAGAACGGGATACTTAGTATATCATTAATTTGAAGGTTAATTTTATTATATTGTATAAAAATGAAAGCACGTGTGCGTAAAAATGCACAATAAATAAACTCTAAATCTTTCCCCTGATGTACTCCCTTCTTACATGTAGAATATAAAACAAGGACAAACATCTTTCCTATAAAATACACGGTCGTATTATAATATGAAAAGAGTAAAAATTCCAGCCGGAAAAATTCTTTAAAAATTAGAAACATCTTAGTTAATTATATGCATTTCTGTTTCCTTGGAGGGGGTAATGTGACCAAAAAACTTCATTATTTATTTTTGTTACATATTTATCTGTTTTCTTTTTCTATTCTTTTGAAGCGATCAACCAGCCCTCAAAGGGAAGTAATAACATCACTGAGGTTTATTCAGCTATGTTTGGTGTTATCACATTTCTTTTTATAAGTATTTTGCTCAACATATTTTTTATTGCGCGGTAAGTTTTTATTGTGATTTTTTTTTTAAATAAAAACTTATATACATGATCTATCTAAAAATGAAACAGATAATGAATTATAAACAAATATTTCCCAGTGTTTTCTTTTTTTCTGGATAGTAAATAACTACATGTATTTCTTTTCATTTTTTCTGTATATTTTGTGTATAAGTTACAGAAATGCAAGAAAAAACACTTGTAGAAAACAAAGCTCGAAGCAGGTGAATACGCTTCAGGATTCAACGAAAGACCAAAACACGACCATAAACTCAACAGGGTGTGACAAAAAGGAAAATAATACAGGATATCAAGAACTCGGGCCTTTTCATTATGACGAACTTCGGTAAATGGAGGACCAGCATTAACTGTGGCAGTAAAAACTGGTTTTAAAATACTGGACAAGCTAAGAATTTTAAATTAAAAAGAATGAATTTAGTATTTAGACACTTCTTCGCCTGCTCTGTAGAAAATGTTATGGTTCTAAGCAGTTACATAACAGTGACCTTCAGCAATTCAGGTCCCTTTTAGTCCCTGTTCACCGAACACATTTCAGTTTTCTTTCAATGACCTCTCAGTCGCTTTACAGTGAACTTTCACTCATTCTTTAACGTTTTTTCATCACCTTTTCACTAGTGTATCAGTAATTACATGTTCCTTATCATTTTTAAATGTGTAACTGATTTCTTATTGTGATAGAATTCAGGTACATAAATGCAAAAAAATACAACATTCTAGAAATTATCATGACTAAACTATCAAATTGGATTATATAATAAAAAAATATGTCTAAATATAACTTTATTAATATAAAAGATTACAATGCAACTGTGAAATGATTTCTAATTTGATGCATGAGATTATATTTCGAATACGAAAAATATTCAAATAATAAAGAATAATGATCCGATGTTTTATCAAAATTTAATTAACTGACATCGAATTTATGTTAAATCTCATTAGTTCAGTGATGAATATTTTCACAAGCATATAAATGATATATTTTTAGATAAGTTGTTAAACAAATAAATATGAGTCAGACTAAAAAATAATTTAAAAAAACAAAAAACAAAATACTCTTAATATAAACAAGAAAAGGCTATCATATAATTTCTTTTAAAGTTCTAATATAGTTTTCAATATTCTTATGTCAATCTACACACTGTATAATGCGTTTAATTTTCATTGAAATAAATAATTGAAACATATGGAAATAACGAACAGTATTCCAGATCAAAAGTCTATAAAACAATTCAAAACAGCCGCCGTGTGCTCCTTGTCATGATCGGGAAATAACGGAAAAATCCGTCGTCGATTCAGTGTATAAATAATAAACTAACAACTAAGTATGAAAAACATCTTCGGGAAAAAAAATTATACAAGTAATCCCAATCTATTGTCACAACGCAAAAATATGACTGAAATATTGCCAACTCGGGGTTAAACAATATCAATCAATCAACTTTCATGTATCCGAATCTGATTTACACCACTTTTTGAATATATTGTTGCACAGTACTTTCCTTCACTACTGTTAATATTTCAGTGAGGAGTAAAGAAAGAGGCTTGGTTGAACATTTTCTGGAACCCGCTATGTATCTTTGTTTGTAGGGATTCTTATAAAGTTTTGGAATCCAGCATACATATATGGTAGTTCAAATTCATTTTGGTTCTGTGGAATATTAAAAATATTCAAAACTGACATATGACTTTGAAGAATTTCCTCCTTAGAAAGAGAGCTATGAGTGTAAGTAGGATTACCACTTGCAGAATTAATCCAAATTCTTCTAAAATACAATTTATATAATGAACCTAACAACCGAAGACAATGTTGTTGCCTGCTTTGTCAGCAGGGACCAATACGTACTGATCATGTAATCTATGAAATTCTTGTTTCACTTCTGGATTATTGAATACAGAAGGATAGATGGTTTTCATATTGCCCCTATATCTTTTAATACATGATTGTAACATGGATGTGATACATTTAATTCATTTTGATAAAGTGTCAACGTCTTCTTTTCATATCTGACTCATCGTCTGGCGTAATTTACAACAGAATCCATAATATTCATGAAATTCCGACGCCAGTTGAAGGATCGGGGTTCCCTATATTTAGGACCTTTTAAAATAATTGCTATTTACGTCACCTATAATAACGTGTCCAGCAGGACTATATTTATAACATGAACACGATGGAGGATTATGTTTAAGATACTCGATATCAGGCCATGTAAAGTTTTCTTGTAATTGAAAAGTTTGGAAGCAATAGTCGATGTATATTTGTAAGGTATAGTCTTTAACTTGAAATATTTTGGAATACAAGACTGGATCCTTCTGTGATTACATGTAAAAATCATGCCAAAAAACCCCGTCCGGTTTTCCAAAGCGATGGACTCAATGAAAGTGTAATTGATGCAAATCACCCATATTCCCCAAACGCAGGCAAGACAATTTACGGCAGCAGATTTCAGGGGGTGGATTCTAGGTTATCAGCTTTCTTAGTTAAAGAAAAATAAACTTGATACATTCCACCATTTATTTCAATCATTGATATTTTTTTCTACTTTAAAATGAAAATATTTATGTAGCCAATCAGGTCACGTCTACCCATTAAGTACTCCTCTTCATCTTGTTTAACCAGGAAATGATGTAAACTTCCGGGAATTTGGTACCCTTTTTCCAATAATTAGACGCTTAGTACTTCCACAACTACCAAGTTCATCATACCCGATGTTAATTTATAATAAGAAAAAAAAAATATTTTGATATGTAAATACGTTAAAATTTGAGAGGCAGATTTTTTTTTATTCACGAATTAGTTTACTATAATTAATTCTAACATTCTTTTTATATAAATTTTTTATCAGCAATTGGTATAGATGCACCCTCCGCCCCCCCCAAAAAAAAACGGGGGGGTGCAAAGGCTTCTAATAATTAGTATTTCTACCTTTGTTTAAAACCCAGTAAAACTTAAGATCTCTCCCTCAAAACTGCCGATATTAATTGCCTCGCGCACACCTCCCTGGGGAAGAATCATACATAAACGTTAATTCGGCTTTTATTGAGTTCCCTCTCCGGATAGAATGCGTAAGTTTTCTTGGCATGATTACTTTTTTAACCACATCAATTCCTTTATTGGCATATTGAAGTTTAAGGAAAAGACGGATCGTGTTAGCTGCATTTTCTTCAGTGAAACGTGGGGTTGAAAGTGAATTTAGCTCTTTTAACATCCTCTAAAAAAACGCTATCCGGTATTTCGCATGAATTTAAGAGCGGAATATAGCTTTCCATATTCAAAAGAAAAATGTAATATGAAATATTTCTTTTAGAAAAATTCTATATTAGGTTTTCGTAAACCTAAAAAGAACCTTAAGTCTTATATTAAAATGAATTTTTGGGCTGCAAAAATTTGATGATAAGTAAAGGAACATATTTTCCAGCGTTTATACGCTTTCAAAAATGACTTAATTACTGTTAATGATTGTTTGAAGAAGACTGGTTATGACATACCAATAGACAGCTGCTTAAAGATTGGTTTACTAGATTCTTACACTAAGAGAAATTTTTACAAAGATACATAGCGGGTTCCAGTAATTGTTCAAGCCTCTTTCTTTACTCCTTACTAAAATATTACATGTAACAGTAGTGAAGGAGAAACTTTAGGAGTCTTGTGCAACAATGTATTCGAGGAGTAATGTAAATCAGATGTTGATTCTTTAAAATTCCAAGGAACTTTTGGAAAATTTGAAACCCATTCATTTCATAAAGATTATGAATAAAATTCATTGTTGTATGCTCACTTCCGATGACATTATATATCTTGGTGAAAAATACAAAAATAGAAACAAGACACAAAAATACCAGCACTTTTCTTTAATTTTGAGTTTAATCCTTACAAAAAAAGAGATACATAACGGGTTTAAGGGGTTCAATTAAATGTTCAACTTCTCACTAAAAAAATAGCAGTAATGAAAGAGAAACTTTCAAGAGTAATGTGCAACAATATATTCAAGAAGTGGTATAAATCAGATGTGGATACTTATAAATTCTAAGAAACTTTGGAAGATTTGAAATCACAAAATTTTACCAAAATCAACAGCATTTAAACATTACTTTTCAACTTTATATACAACCATTTCTTATGTTTAATTAAAGTCCAGGATTCTTTAAATCATCGAAAGTTGCTTTTTTTTCTAATAGCAATGGAACTCGTAAATTTACTCACCTTGTCATTGGTCATTTGCAAATTCATTTTGATTATACACACATTATGATTATAAACACGAGTACTCTGAAGTTTATATTAAGAAGATGCTTGAGTTTTTGATTGACAATATCTATGTGGTTTTTGGTGACAGGGTCTTCAAACAATTTATTAGATTTTTTATTGGTACCAATTGCGTTCCGTTATTAGCAGATCAATTTTTATAGTCATAGGAAGCAGAATTTGTCCAAAGTCATATACGTAAAAAGATGAAAACACTTGATGTGACCTTCAACTCGACATTTAGACATCTTGTCCATTAAAAATGGTCATTTCCATTTCTACGTCGATTCTATGTCGATACGATATATCCCATTTAAAAGAATAAAATAAAAGATACCAAAGAGTCTGACATATCTGTTCAATATTTAGATATTTTACCTGAAAAAGATGTAAATGGTAATCTGACAACCAAACTTCATAATTAACGTGATGACTTAATTCTTACCCGTAAACTTACCTTACTTATGCAGCAATATACATGTACCTTCAAAACCTGCTTACGGGGTTTATAACTCTCAGTTGATTCGATACGTGAGAGCATGTTCTACGTATGAACGAGGTAAGTTATTGACAAACAACTTGCTGAAACAAGAATATCAACAGTCTCGTTTACAATCATCATTTCTTAAATTCTATGGTCAATACAATGATCTTGTCAGCAAACAAATTCTGACTGACGTTTGTTATACTGATTGCTAAATGTAGGTCATTTTATACACACTGAATTGTCGACAAATTTTTCCGTTGTTTCCTGATCATGACAGGGATGCACGCGGAGGGTTTGACCTCCACTTTGATGCTCACTCCTCCATTTTATCTAATCCAACCTCTGATTGTTTTGGGGGATCTGTGTTTGCTTTACTCCTATTTTGTATTGTTTGATGGACTTTTGAGCTTAAATACTGTTTATCTCCATATATTTCATTTAACGATTTTCAATATCTTGCAATTGTGAGTGTACCTGGTGTTTATTGTTATAAAGCACAAAAACCCCGTTTGTTGAATAGTGATTGACTGATTGATTGATTGTATGTTGTTTCACGTTCCTCTCGAGAATTTTTAACTCATGCTTAGACGCCACCACTTGCACAATGAAATACAAGTTGAGTTTCAGGAAAACTTGTCACAGAAGGTCACAACTCCTACACCAACAAATTAGCATTCCCATTTCTACTGCCAAATTACATAATAACAAGAGGTATTATGAGAAATGGGCTCTTTAAATGATAACAGGCCTCCCATATGATTACAATGGCAAAGTTCTTGCTTTGCTTTGGACCTGAAATAAGTGTCAGATCAAAAAAGTAGAATAGGAGGTGCAAAATGACATTATGTTATAAAAAATCTGTGAAAGTATCAATAAATTTTTTTTCACTGGTATAGGAGGAATTGCCGATATGAGATGAGTACCCTTCAATATTATAGAAAAAAAAATGACAGTGTCCATGTTTTGCTATGGGAAACCTGAAATTTTTTTCCGATCAAAAAGAAGAATAGAAGGTCACAATGGCACTTTGAAACAAAGATTCTATGAAAGTCTCGATCATTTAATTTCATTCAGTGGTATAAAAGGAGTCGGGAATTAGGGATGAATACCACAAACGTAACGGACGGACGTACAGACGGACGAACATCCCAATCACTATACACCCTCCCACTTTACAAATAAAGTCATTTTTGTTGATGAAATTATTACTTGCGAATTCAACTTGAAGGTGTATGATACATTAGATGTATCCTATTGAATGTTTAATTTCTGCCCATAGGCACTTGTTTCTGTATACAACTTTTTCTAACCGATATATATAGTATAATAATAACACAGGTACTTGTTTCTGTAATAATTTTTCAACCCAAATAAGAAAGTTTGTCAAAGCGTTTGCCCTGAAATTGTAAGTAAGTTCGAATCTGGTGAGGGGGTATTCCGTGTAATTCGGACCGAAGTAGGGTATTTTGTGTTATCATAATACTCTTCGTTGATTTTTTTTTTTTACAAAAACAAGTGCCTGTGCTTTTGCCCGACCCTCTGAGTATGTTTAAAAACCAGACCAAATCTATGTTACGAAAATACCAGTGTTGGCAATAAATAAATACAAATGCACTGCTCTCACATTTTCGTTAGGCATTGAGTGCACAAATTGTAATTTTAATATCTATTTCAATAATAAAAGCAGGATATATCTTTTTGCTTTCATAATTGAATCTGATATCAATGTTACAATTTTATGTGCTGAATGACTTACAAAAATTTGTACAAAAAGTATTTATTTATTCACTAGACTTGTTCAAAGATCGTAATTGACTGATACAAAACTGTTAACTTAAGAAATCTTCGAAAGTGTGTCGCTTTCTGTTGAAATTTAGTTACGTATTTCATAAATGATTAGAGACTTAAAGATTGTAAAGATTTTCTTTTAGGTCAAAATAGGCAAACGGTGTAGATGTATTACAATTTTAACGGAGAGAGTATATAAAGAAATTTAGGCAAATTTTAAGCATTGATATATCTTCTTTATCTATGCATGAACTTAAAAAAATAAACTTAATACCACTGAGAAATCAATATACACGTAAGACTGGCTCCACAGTCCCTTGTTGCGTAAAATTAGCTGATAATTATTAAAAATATTTAAAATGAAATTAATCCATTATAATAATTAATGGGAAAACGAAATGTTTATAAATTACAAGACTTTAGTGCTACATAGACATAGAAAAAATATGCCTTAAAAAAACCTTAAAGAGATCATTCATATACATGTATAATGAATGATTTATGTAAAAGATTGTCTGAAATCGAGAAATGAAAAAAGTATATAAACAAGTGTTCAATGTCAAACAATATACAAACAATGCAAATCTATGAACAGTACACGAAATACGAATCCGGATATTTCCAGAGGTGGAATAAGGTGACAAGGAGAAAGAAGCACAAATCAAACTAAATAAGTCTACTGTTGTAAGTAATAGTGTATGTCACCCCGAAATGAACCACAACCTGAAAGATTTTTCAATGCTTAAAGAAATGAATATTGGTCACAGTAGAAAAAGCACCCACCTCAATCCTTTCACATACGAACAGTACTTTTTTCCTTTTAATTTCCGATCATGACAAGGAGCATATGGCGGGTATGACCAGTTAGCAGGGGATGCTCATTCCTCAAGGGCACCTAATCCTACGCCTGGTGTTTTAAAGGTCTGTGTTTGCTCTGTTCCAAAATTTGTATTATTTAATGGACGATGATAATCTTCTATTCTTCATCAAATACGCTTCAGTCTCCGTCCTTGTTTTGAAAAATTTGGGAAATAACAAAACAACAAATTATATGCTTTGAGAAATTCTATGTAGAGTCATAATTTTCAACTTTAGTTAAATTGGCCTCGTGGTTATTGAAAAGCTGAAAATCTGAAACGTTAACTGTCAGTTAGACAGCCAAACATCGGACACAAGATGTTCAGAAAAGCTGCGCTTATTAAAAAAAACTACTCAGGGGGGATGGGGGATAGGATATGGCTAGTGTTTTAGAAACACTTGTTTTGGTTTTTTTTATATCTACAGTATTGTTTATTGAAATGTCATTCCAAACCTAATCTTTTTTAAACATTCTTAAATGATAATGAAACTTCTGATTCAAATACTGTAATATGCACATTTCTACTGAGGATTTCCATGTCATGATACTAAGACAGTACATTTCTGTCCGTCTATTGTTATATCTTTGCATTAAATACCTATCTTACAAAGACAAGATCCATGTGATGACAACCTTTATTTTGAAAAAAATAAATTCATGTATACAGAGGATAATGGTTTTACATAATTAAGATGGTTAAAATACCTTTTAAACACACAACAATAAAAAATTTTCATTACAAATGTTTCAAACTGGAATGAAAAAAAGAAAAAATATGAAATCAAAGCAGAAAGTTATACTCAGAATAAATAAACTTAACATCGTACATAAATATTACTCATTAATCTTACATTTTCAACACCCTCTACAATTGTGTCATGAAAAATCACAAATTTCTAGGAGTCCACTTTAAATCCATATACATGTACAATAAAGAAAAAATGTTGCTTAAATCAATTAATTTACCAAAAATAATGTACCAATATCACTAAGCCTATAAACAATACACACATTGTGAAAAAATGAATGGATGATCTAAAACCCTTGCAATTAAATGACAATGTTCTTAATTTTTTTTCTAACCTGAGAAACTAAAAGCAGGTGTTAAGGAATTTATTTCTTCCATTACCATGCTTTCTTAACTTATGCTTTCTCTATGAAATATTCTTGAATTTTATAGCAGTGTGTGATGTAAAAACTTACAAATCAGAGATAATTTTTATGTCACTGCACCCAGTCCATTACTCTTTAAAGCATCACATTTGTTGAAAGACAAAAAAAGGAAAATAAAACAAAGTGTAAAAAGCAACGTTTACAGGTAATTGAGAGAAAATATTCATATAGTAATAGAGCCCCAATTTTTTTTTAATCCTTCGTTTTTGTCTAAATATATATATTTCTCACAGGTTATTACATTTTCATACCAATTCCCTTTGAGTTTAACAACAAAGTGATAAAACACTGCCAATATTTTCAAAGTAAAGAAAGTATAATGCAGTGGTGAGCAATAATTAATAACACAGACTTATGGATATGTAGTACATACATTGTACATGTAGTACTATTTCAGGTAGAACAATACAATGCTGGAGCTCATCCACTGTGTGCAATTAGGAAATCATAAAACTTTATATACAATGATCACAGACACATGCATATTTCAAACATCAAACTTTAAATAATATTGCATATATAGAAGGAAAAAATCTATAAAAATAGAACACTGATTTTCACAGAAAAAGTGCATTATCGTCAACTGAAAATATTTAATAGTTACATCAACTTGTACAAGTTCTAACAAAATGGAAACATGTTTATTACACATTCATAACATTTGCAAATTCACCTTTCCTCTTATGTCTCACTCTAACATGGAAAATACTAAATTATGACAAGATTCAGATAATAACCTGTGATGCGCTATACGGAACTTTACCCAGTGAGAAGTATCAGTTCACAAATCTGAGTGAAATGACTTCATTCTCAGTTCACCGCACATACTTGTAGTCTAACTGCTATACAAAAGGAAATGAAAAGTGCTAACATTAAAGAAATTGAACTGAAAAAAAAATGAAACCATTTCTAAAACCCAACATCAAATCATTAATGAAAAACCGATTTTGACACACAGTTGGATATCACAATAGCACACATTACACATGTTGAACATAAAATGGCGAGATCCCAGCATCATATAAATTTTTAGCTTTACATCCTGAATCGCTGAATATACTAACGTTAACGGTTTGAAACACTCCTATAATCATCCTAGACCAGCTGATTCAGTTTGTGCATGTGACGTACACACAAAGGATGGAATGCTGTTAGTTTGATAATGCCTGAGATTGAAAAGGGTTGATCTCTTGACAAGAGTTTGTGTCCGTTGCATAGAAACATTGTAAACCTCACGATTTATCATCTGTCCTCCCACTTCCACTGCTAGCGGACTGTATAACCACATCTACAGAGTCTGGAGCTCCATCTTGGGTGAATCGGAGTCAACATCCTGATAAATCATTTTATATCAATTAAAAATATAATTACAGAAAAGGTGTACTCATTTAGCTCTGTTAAACACTGGGATATTCAATCCTACATAAAGAGTCAAAAAAACTTTCTAACTATTGTCCTGACCCATCCACATTGCATGACAACCTTATATATTTCAACTACATGTATTTAATTAGCAATCTTGTCAAAAACAAACATCAAATAAAACTATTTTAAACTTACTCCATTAGCTTTCTGGTGCAGAGCATGTAGAACAGCATCATGTACCGTTACCAACAAGTTGTGTCTGTCTAAGCAACTAAAGAAACCAGTCTTCTCAAGCATTTCTCGAATTCCAGCTGACAAAATATAAGTAAATTCATGTAAAAATTATGTCTTAAAGACATTTACACTAAGTAGGTTAATCTTCCTCTTAAAAATAACACTAAAAACAATTGTGTAATGTAAACAAAGAATGGTAAAGTTTGAAAAAAATTTGAAATTTTTTAGCTAAACAAAATTTACCTTTGCAAAAAGCCAAGTGAATTTTAATGTCGATGTCACGAAAGTCATTGACAACCTGGAAGAATTAATAAAAAATTATTATGCATTTTAGAGGAAAATTGTTTCATTAACATTATGTTTTTTTTTTCTTGTTCAAAAATATCAGGAAGAAAGAAATACTCACGCTAACTCTCGATTCCCATCTACACTTTGCAACCATTTATTTCAATGTAAATGGCAAATTGGCCATAAATTCTTTGTTCAATACAAAGAACAGTTGAAAAATTTATGAATTGTCATAATACCAAAATTTATGAATTGTCATAACACCAGGGCTAAAGTAGTAAATTATCCATAATTCCAGCTCTTGAAAAAAGGGGTAGACGATATTTTCCATAGCAATCGGACTTGAAAGCATCACAATAATTTGAAATAGTCTTGGGTATGAATAAATGTTCATAATATCTTTTTTTAATGTTTTAGGCAGATAAATAAAACATAAATATATTAATAAAATATAAGGTTTCAGTTGTAAATCGCTTTAAAATTGGTGGAAAATAAGCATTTTGTCGTTTTTTGTCAATAACCATAAGTTCCCCCACCCCCCGTGTCACACAAAAAGTTTTGGTACGAATTTGTGAAATAACAGTCCATATTGTCTGTAAAAAGGAATTTTTGTGTCACGGAGGGAAAGATGTTTCAAAAATATTTTTCGTTTTCCGTTGAATTCTATAGCGAAAAACACAAGTTTTACTAAAATTTTAGGGCTATCTCTCCTTGTTTTCCCAGATAAGTAATGTTTTATGAAAATCCATATAATTATCTATAAAAAATATCAAAAATTAAATCGAATATGTTAACTTTTGAAAATTGACTTGGAGGTAGGTGGGAGAACAATACTATCGTTCGCAGTCCTTGTTGCATTGTTGTAGGAAAATATCACGAAAAAAATTGTTGCATTAACATTATGTTTCTTCTTTTTGTTGTAGAAAACATCAAGGAGAAAATTGTTGCATTAACATTATGTTTTTTTCTGTAATAAATTCATAATAAGCAAGAGGCCCAAGGGCCTTGAATCGCTCTTCTGATAAATTGTACAATCTATCACTTCTTTTAGAGCCTCCAACTCTAAGTATCATATACCGTTTACGGTAGCTTAGTCGGTAGAGCGCTCGCTCCGTGATCGGGAGGTCGTGAGTTCGCATCTCGGCCGCGACTGACCTAAGTCGATAAAAAAAATGGGTAGCAACTGTTCCTTCGCCATGCGCTCGGCACATTGAAGTGAAAGTTGTGGGTCCTTCGGATGAGACCTTAAAAACCGAGGCCCCGTGTCAGCGGCAGGCGTTGGCACGATAAAGATCCCTCACTGCTCAATGGCCCTGAGTGCCGAGTTAAGGTCAAAATTTGAAGCCCTTCACCGGCATACGGTGACGTCTCCATATGAGTGAAAAATTCTCGAGAGGGACGTTAAACAATATACAATCAATCAATCAATCTAAGTATCATATGACCCAAAATTCATCAACTGACAAATTTGATAATATTTAGCCACTTAAGACTGAAGATATTATGATATAATTATAAAATACCATAAGTAGGTCACGGTGACCTACTTTTTGATTGAACTTTTTGAACTTTTCTGAGGACTCAAGATGCATCAATTGACAAAGACTGATGATTCTACGTAAATAAGTACCTGAGATATTCAAAAGTGGGTCACCGTGACCTACTTTTTGGTCGATATTCTCCGAAAACCCAAGATGCATCAACTGACAAAGTGTGACGATTCTAAGCCAATAACTACCAGAGATAATTAAATATAGCCATCAAATTTCAAAAGTAGAATGGTGACCTACTTTTTGGTTGACGTTCTCTGAAAACCCAAGATGCCTAAACTGACAAAGTTTGATGATTCTAAGCCAATAAGTACCTGAGATATTCAAAAGTAGGTCACCGTCACCTACTTTTTCGTCGACATTCTCCGAAAACCTAAGATGCCTCAACTGACGGAGTTTGATGCTTCCAAGCCAATAAGTACCAGAGATAATTAAATATAGGCATAAAATGTCAAAATTAGGTCAACGTGACCTACTTTTTGGTCGATACATCAACTGACAAAGTTTGATGATCATAGGCTTTAAAGTGTCCAAAATATGCCCACAAAATCAAACAAGAGGCCCACGGGCCTTATAGGTCACCTGAGCATCATACAACAACTTTCAAATGATTGAATTTGGTTCATGTTTTAAGCTAGATGCTATTGCATTCACGATTTTGAAAGAGGCACCAATGCTAATCATAACTATACACTTAGCAATTGTTTGGTTTGTTTACTTAATACCCATAAACAGGGTAGGGGAACAAAAATGTATGTCAACTAATCAGTAATATTCAGCGATAATCAGGAGTGCTCCTACCACACATGAACCCCTGACCCTAGGTCTACACATTGCACAATTTTTGAAAAGGCACACTCGCTTATCAAAAATGTTTGATTAATACCAAGGAGTATATTTCAAACAATTCATTTTCAGTATATAAGTAGAGCCCTCCCCCCAAAATTTGGTATCCCAGACCCAGGGGCCTTGAAATTCACAATTCTGGAAGAAGAGCCCATCATAAATATGTAAATAGTTCATCTGCTTATTACCCAGAAGTAGAGAAAAAGATTTTCATAGATGTAATGCATTTTCACTATATAATCAATAGAGCCACGCCCTAACACCATAACCCCCTGACCCTGGGGCAATAAAATTCACAATTTATGTAAAGACACTCTTGCTCATCATAACTATGTCCTTAATTAGTTTATTTAATACTCAGAAGCAGAGGAGAAGATTTTCAAAGATTTTAATGCATTTTCACTATATAATCAATAGAGCCCCGCCCTAACACCATAACCCCTGACCCTGGGGCCATAAAATTCACAATTTTGGTAGAGGCACTCTTGCTCATCATAACTATGTACTTAGTTAGTTTATTTAATAGCTAGGAGCAGAGAAGAAGATTTTCAAAGATTTAATGCATTTTCACTATGTTATTAATAGAGCCCCGCCCTAACACCAGAACCCCTGACCCTGGGGCCAAAAAATTCACAATTTATGTATAGACACTCTTCCTCATCATAATTATGTACTTAATTAGTTTATTAAATACTCAGGAACAGAGAAGAAGATTTTCAAAGAAATAATGCATTTTCACTATATAATCAATAGAGCACCGCCCTAACACCATAAATCTGACCCTGGGGCAATAAAATTCACAATTTATGTAGAGACACTCCTGCTCATCATAATTATGTACTAAATTAGTTTATTTAATACTCAGGAACAGAGAAGAAGATTTTCAAAGAAATAATGCATTTTCACTATATAATCAATAGAGCCACGCCCTAACACCATAACCCCTGACCCTGGGCCATAAAATTCACAATTTTGGTAGAGGCACTCTTCCTCATCATAACTATGAACTTAATTAGTTTATTTAATACCCAGGACCAGAGAAGAAGATTTTCAAAGAAATAATGCATTTTCACTATATAATCAATAGAGCCCCGCCCTAACACCAGAACCCCTGACCCAGGGGCCATGAATTTCACAATTTTGGTAGAGGACTCAATGCTGATTACAATCATACCAACAGTTTGACTGCTTGATGTCCGGGAGTAAAGAAGAAGATATTTAAAGATTGCACTAATTTTAGTGGTTTTTGCCCCACCCCCTAGGCCCCAGGGGGGCAGGGACCACGAAATTCACAATTTTTGTTCCCTTTTACCCATAGATGCTTTATGCCAAAATTGGTTGAAATTGGTTCAGCAGTTTCAGAGAAGAAGCTGAAAATGTTTAAATGTTAACGCATGACGCACGACGAACGACGAACGACGACGGACGAAAACAGATAGCAATAGGTCACCTGAGTTTACTCAGGTGACCTAAAAAGTAGGTCACCGTGACCTACTTTTGAGTTAACATGATGTGAAGTCCTAAGATGCATCAACTTGCAAGATTTGATAATACTAGTCATTATAGTAAGCAAAATATCAACGTTTTAAATAAGTGTAAATTTTGGTCAATTTTGAAGTGACCTTGAGACCACGCCCTTTGCTCCAAGGTAATTCCCCTTGCAATTTTTAATCTTCAACATATCCTGACCCTTTTTTGTACGTTTGGTGAAAATCTGCCTGGTGGTTCTAGATTAGAAGATTTTTTAGCAACCAGTCCTTTTGGTTTTATTTTCCTGATTTTCTACCCTTGTTTAAGAGTCCAAACCCTAGTTTTAGTATAAATGGTAGCCCTTGGGCCAAGGATACCCTGTGACAAATTTGACAATGATTGGCCATGGGGTTCTTGAGTTATGGTCCATCTTCTAAAAAGTTTACGTGCACCGCACACCGCACAAATGGCCATAGCA